GGTATAGGATTCATTTACTTATTTTAGAAACTGGAATTCAGATGTCAGCTTCCTTCTTTCTCTAGTGCATCTTATTGTTATTACCTTCTGAGTGCACTTGAGGAGAAGCTTGTGCTTTTCAGGAGAATCTTGTGCAGCCCATAAGGAACCCGTTTTGTTGGAGGGATTTTGTTGTGTTGGCTCATCTCATGCCTGGCTTGTCAATTGATGTTAGGTGTATGTATGTGGCCACATTATTGTTGGGATTTAACTATCAGATTGAAGTTGAGAACTGGATGATTTAAATGTGTTCTCATGCTGTAGTGTTGTAGGATTGTAAATATTGAAGCTTCCTTCTAATATGTTTGCTCATATTCTAGTCTCTCCCAAAACTTGCTAGCTGCTATACATGCATCTCTTTCTATGTGGCTAAAATTAAGTTACAAATGACACCATTATTCGTGTATAGGCAAGGTTCCGGAAGTGCTTGTCGCAGCTTGTATGGTGGATTTGTCAAGTGGATCATGGGAAAAGTACGTTTGGATTATAAGCTTTGTTCTGTGTCTCCAATGAAAAGGAGGTTATCTTTTAAGATCTTGCCATAATTTGGTTTTCATGGTTTTGATAAGGATGACAATGGAAATGATAGCATTGCCGTTCAGCTTGTGGATGAGAAACATTGGGATGAACTTGTTATTCTCATTGCAGTGGTACATACCTACTTTTTTCATCTTCCACTTCCTTGGGCCTGAGGGATATATTGAGAGTACAAATTTTTCATTATCCTTTTCCTTTTTGTTGGTAGATGGGTGCACATAAGAATGAAAGGTTATACAGAATAAATCCTTTTGCACATTCTTTTTCGCCCTTTATTTGTTTTACTTTTATTGTCAAGCAATATTCACAATCTTTGCTTTGGTCCAATTCAAATATTCCTTATTCAGAATCTAGAATTTGATGATGATGTAGCGACCGCTTAAAATGCCTAGTAAAGTGATTTTTGGATGGTCTGTCCTCAAAACTTGGTATACTTAAGTTTTACATCCCAGTACCTATTCTTGTACTACTGTTAACATGATCCAGTAGGTCTTGTCCTTGCATTGAATATTGTAGTGTTTGTAATTGGTGGAAATCCACTAGCTTTGGCTTCATAAAATGCAAAATCTCGGAATATGAGTCTTCTTTCTGCCCTTTGTCTTCTAATGCCCTGCACCATATATTTGACAGTAACATGTGGGATGGCTATTCATAGTTGGGGTACCCTGTGTGCCTTGACATGTATCCCTTCTTGTGAGTGACAATGATTGCTCCTTCATAATGAGAATAAGTTTATGTTATACTACTTTCTTCGTATGTCTAGATAAATCAGATTTAGTTCACTGGAAGAAGCTATGAGTATCATGTGACTTCCTGCTACTATTTCTAAAAGCACATCACTACATGCTTCATCATCAATTTCGTTGATAAAAAAAAGAACTCCCTTATCCTTTGTTATTCACTTTCTCATCATTAATCTCTTCAGCATCCTTTATGTACTAGTCACTCAAATTGCTCCTGTGAATTCAGGTAAGTTCGCGGCAGAAGGAAACTAGTAGCACCAGTGGAATGCGCGAGACAGTTGAAACAAGTCCTCTTGTACTGCACAGAGCAAAGGTATCACCTGGTCCTCTTTTTTTATTTTTATTTTAAATAATGAGTCTTCAGTTACTTCGTTGAGCTTGTTTATGAGTCTTTAGTTGTTACGTTTAAGTTTTGTGTGTGTGTAGTTTTGTATTATCAGACTCTTCATGATATGAAGTTACACAATTTTTTGAATTTCTAATTCTTGGATGCAATTATTTCAGGAAGTGGTACCTAAACGTGTAGTTGAGATGGAAGAAGCCGTAAAAAGTCGTAATTTTCCAGCATTTGCTCGTCTGACTTGTTCAGACAGTAATCAGTTCCATGCCGTCTGTCTGGATACAAGTCCCCCTATATTCTACATGAATGACACATCTCATAGGCAAGCAATTTAGTCAAGAGTTTCTGTATTTTTCTTTTTCGTGGCACATTGTCAACCTTTGTGGTCTCAAAGCTGCACTCTCAAATTTTTAGTTTTAAACAGTACTGGTTTGCAACTTTGCAGGATAATCAGCTGTGTTGAGAAATGGAATCGCTCCGAGGGAACACCTCAGGTAGAATTTTCTAAAATCTGTAAAGTGCAAGGATTGCAAATCAGTTTCAGAAACGGATTATTCCTATATTTATTGTGATAACCGCCCTTATTGATCCAAACTTATATTATTTGGAATCTTTTAGTAAGTTAAAGCTCTTTGTAAAATTCTGTTTTCTTGTTTATGAAGATCAGCAATATGAACATAGATTCAGATAAGACCTGTTGAAAGGGCACATAAACAAGCAAGACTGATGATATATGTTGCCGTCAGTGGCAGAGAGTTGTTTTACTTCATATTTCCTCTCTCTCTCTCTCTCTCTCTCTCACACACACACACACACACAAACACACACTCAAGAGTAAGACACAGTAAGATTTATGCATGTTTGGGTGTGTATATGCTCTTTGCTAGGCCCATGTGTATTTAGGAAGCTTGCATGCAGAGAAATTGGTTGATAGGTAATACAACCTTTATAAGATTATATAAATGGGATGTAACAGGGATTTTAGTAACAAAAGAATTGCTGAGCAAGCTGGTTTAGCTCATACAATAAAGTATTATCTTGTTTTAGAGGCTACAATATTTGGATTGGCAAACATCTACATCTTGTAATCAAAATGCCATTTGGATTGGCAAACATCTAAATTTGAATATGTGGTCTCTGAACCTGTGGGAATATTGTTGAAACTCATATTGGTTAGTTCAAATGGTTGGATATGACAAGTATGATGAAATTTGGCAGGTGGCTTATACTTTTGATGCGGGTCCAAATGCAGTTCTAATAGCCCGCAACAGGAAAGTTGCAGCCCTTCTGCTTCAAAGACTGCTCTTTCATTTCCCTCCGCAGTCTGGTGCAGATCTAAACAGGTAATCTTTTTGCTTGTTTTTTATTTTGAAGTTGTAAGTATTTAAAAATGGAATCTTACACGGCCTTTCTAACCGGGAATAACATTCATCAACTCAAGATTTGATTTGTTTTTCTTGTCCCAATACATTTTCCATAATGAGCTCCCTAATATGTTCTCTTGCGTGTCCTATTTTGTGCAGCTATATTGTTGGCGATAAATCAGTTCTAATGGATGCTGGCATTCAGGACCTGAAAGATGTGGAAGCATTGCCTCCACCTCCAGAAATCAAGGATAACGTTCCCACCCAAAAATTCAAAGGAGATGTAAGCTACTTCATTTGTACAAGACCTGGTAGAGGTCCAGTTTTGCTTACAGAGGAAAGTCAAGCTCTCCTAAACCCTGAAACTGGCTTGCCCAAGTAAAGGTGTGCTTTTCTAGCTCGGGCTAACTTTCAAGTATCTGAGCTTGAAGGATTGCAATTATGACGGTCCTTTACAGCAAAGAAGTCACTGCGTATGAACTTCCCAAGTTGGAGCCATTTTTTGAATTGTAGCTGTAATTTAGAATTTCCTTCTTGTCAGTCAATATTCATGTACTTGGGATTTTCCAGCAAGATAACAAATAAGAATTTTGTGATCTTTTTGAGTCATTTCTTTGTACCTCAAAAACAATAATGTTGCATGAATGGAACTCTGGAGGTGCTCGTCTTAAGCTATCCATCAAGTGCTCTGGCAGGGTTATTTTCTCCAGATTACATGATATGTAAAATCTGTGTTGTGGCTCTTCTTAATTATTAAGAAAGACTTGGGATCTTGATTAGATTCAACAGTTTCATGTTTCCGTATTCTTTTTTCAGCAGTGAATTTGCATTAAATCGATGCAATCTGGGGACGCAATCCCACTTTGGCCTAATTTTGCTTGTCGCCGGAAGCTTACATTAATGATACACAAGTTGCTCAAATCATTTGTGGAACATTGTTGAAACTTTAATTTGCATTTGTATACCGCAATTTATTCATTGAAGACTACTAGAATCTTTTCGTCTAAAACAGCTATCAATATTTGAGGAAATGACACTCACATCAACAACAAAATTTGAACACGATTTTTTACAAGAAAATGATCCGTTCTTGTCAACTGAATATACTTGTGTTGGCGATTTTGATATTGGTGATTACAAAGTCTTTTGTGCCTTGAGGCCTTCAGCAATCAGTTGGCGGAGGTGGGACCAAGTCAGTTTAATTCTTTTTTTTTTCCCTACAATTCCCAACGAGATAATACTTTATAGGGATAATCTGTGCGCAAGTAATTTTTTTTTTTTTGTCAGCAACTATACATTTGTATAACCTACTCTATCCTAATCTAGGGGGAGGGAAGCCTAAGGAGGCTGTGATAGGGGGCTAGTGGGTATACAGACCCAACTAGACCAAAGAGTGTTATGACACAACTCTTAGATTTTTTTCGCTGCAGGTGAGGTTTGAACTCTCACCTACAGTCCAAGGAGGGACTTAAGCCTCTCTCTCCGGTTTTGGAACAATATCGGACTCAGCATCCTACTTTATTGTACTGGCGGTTAAATATCGAACTCTGCATCCATCTTTTAATAACCACTGGTCACCGGTTCCTTTTGATTGTAGGTCGGAGATTCGAACCTCGCTTGCAGTGAAAAAAAATTCAAAGAAAATGTCAGAACACTCCTTTAATTTAATCAGATTATTAAATTATAGAAATGTTATCGGCACGGTAAAAAAAAAAAAAAAAAAAAAAGCATCCATCTTCTGATCAAGGCCGCTACAAGTAATGGTCAAGGTTAATATCTGATCGCGGACTGCGCTACAACATGTGTTGAAATTCTCTCTAGTGTTTTCAATATAATACTGTAGTATTTCGGATTGGGAAATTCTCTCTAGCGTCTTCAATGTAATATTTTGGATTTGGAGACTTTCTCAACCTATACCAAACAGATTGACTAACTTAGTTTACAAATGAACTCCATATAATAATAAAATCCGAATTTGCTTCATCATTCCAAAACCAAAATGTGTAAAGGAATTGTAGTTCTTGAATGCAGCGTAGTAATGTGAAGACTCGTTCTCGAATTCCACTTAGTGAAAGCGATGTCTGCACAATTTCACTTGACAGGCAAAAAAGTTCTATAATACTAATAGACTAGTGTTGCAGCCACATGCAGGACTGGGACAAACTTGCAAAAAGCATTATTAGTAGTCCCAAAGAATGGAGGATTAAATGTAACCAGGACGAATTGATGTTTACATCAGACAGTGAAAAGCTCTTTTAGGATGGCCTCTTTATTGTCAAGCACAAGCAAATGCCCGGCGTTCGGTATCTCATGGTAGCGAATCCAAGGAAGCTTTTCAGCAATGTAACGCTGCAATACAACGGGCACGAGGCCATCTTCGTCGCCGTGCCACAAGTGAACTGAGCCTTCGGCGTCAGCAAAAGGGTTCTTAAGATCCATAGGATCAAATTCAACCTTGCCAAATCCAACTATCATGTCCCTATGGAAGGATTCAAATTCTCCTTGTTGTGTTACGTATTCCTGTAAACAGAACAAATCATTGGAGTCCAAATCAACCATCTATAACTCAAAAAAAAAAAAAAAAAAAAAAAACCATGGTATGAGAAGTTCCAAGTACCGTTTGAGATTGTCTATCTGCAAGCTTGGATATAATTTCCAAGTCTCGGCGAGAGAGCTTGGGCCTTCCGGATATGACACTGGAGGATGGAAACAATTTCTGCGTGTTCCACCAGTAGGTGAGCCATGGGGTGTAATGGGCAACTCGAAGAGCCCATTGATCCTGTGGTAACTGTTGATAGTATGCTTCAGTCGATAAATTTGACGGGAAGCCAGGCCACCAGTAATTGATCACTGGACAAACCAATGCTGCTCCGGCTACCCTATCAGCATCCGAAAGATTGAACCATACGGTTATTGCGAACTCGTGTAGAAAACAATCAGGACACTAAAAGATCAAAATTACACACCAAGAATTTAACAAATTGAAGTGTTGAGACTGCATACAAATTACAACAGGGGAAAGAGCTTAGGTGTGAGACATCACTGCCTCTCGCATCTAGTTGAAGCTTCTGTTTGGTTTCATAATCTAATAACAATAGACATAAAAATCAAGGTGGCTTTATATTTCCACAGGTTTTAGATCTCTTAGAAAAGGACATCATCTTTGATTTCTCCGTGAAGATAACGTCTTTCATTTTGATATCCACTGCAATTCAGATAACTACAGTTTACTTAATAGAAGAACACACTGTTAGCCAGGCATTTTCTTCGCATACTGCTTAAGTTAGAATCATCTTCCCAAAGAAGAGAAGATTGACTAAGTATGAGACTCAAAGTTAGATAATCTGTAGCCAGGCAAGATTAGCTCTGTACCCCATCTAGCCAGCGTCACGTCCATCCATCATTGGATAGTCATTGAAGAAAAATTCTTCCATCAAATTAAAAGTATGACCTTGCATACTTCTCCTTAAGCTACCTTTTGTTGCGGAGTGAAACTATAGTTGAACACCCTCCACAAGTTGTGGAAATTTTTAATTTAAAATAAACAAATTGCTATTCTAAATTGGAGTAAATGTTGGGACTACAAATCATACCGGTGAGAGATGTACTTGAGGCAACCCCAAACCACTTGTCCACCCATGGAAAACCCAATGACATAAAATTTGGATCTGAGTTCCAATTGATCAGCAAGCTCCTCTATATCTAGTGCTAGACTTCTAAAAGATCGCTTTGGATCAGGATCACTTTCTCCATAACCCGGTCTATCAAAAGATACAAAGTAGATCCCAAGTTCTTGAACTGCCTCCTGAAAATAAAGTGAAATTCTTTTGAAACCAGTTCTGGCAGAATGGCTTGCGTATTCAATGTGAGGTAGCAAATTACCGCTGTCGCAATTTCAGCCTCATGCCTGCTAGACCCAAATCCATGAACCAATACAACCTTGTACCTCGCCAATTCTTTGGAAACACCATGCTCCTTATAAGCCAAATGTCTCCCATCCCTAAGTTTAATTCTAGGTCCTGTGATTGGTGGACCCCCGGGGGAGCCACAGATGCGAGGAGGTGGAGGGCGGATGGGCTGAAGTATCCATGCTAGAAACCCGACAAACAACAATGGTATAATTGTTTTAATCATCACTGAAAACAACGGTTCATATTTAGCTCCTTAAACAGAAAAAGCTAGAGTATGAGAAGAAATAACTAAAAGAAACTTGAGAAACAATCTTCAGGATGCTGTAGACGGATATTAGCTTCATTTCACCAAGAAAACTATCAGTAAAAGATTGTTTTCTCCAACCTATAATTGTAAAAGACTAGTTTCATTTCACCAAGAAAACTATTAGATTCACCATTGCTGTAGACGGATAGAAGTAAATGTTGCCACTGTAACATGATTCAATTTATGATCGCCACAACAACACAGTGACATCTTTCTGCTATGAACATTCATTGGTTCAAGCACTACAAACCATACAGGCCAGTCAACATCACAATAATTTTGCCATGACAGAAACTGAGAAGTACATAATGTCCATAATTTTGGGAGGTGGGAGTGGCTTGCAAATGCTAATTCATAATCCACAAAAGGTTAAAAGACATTGTTGCCTATGCATAAATTAAGGGAGACTGGACATGAAGGTATGGGTTCAAATCTGCACAAGTTTTACAATATACGTACACGTGTGCACTGCATGAACCTATGGATATAGGCTGGATATCACATTAAAAAGTCTAATTTGAACAAATTTCCCCTTCTGTTTATCAGCTGTCATCTGGCCAATACTAGATTATTCAATTATTTTCCCGTGACCTTTTTTTTTTTAATTGTTTAGCAGCACTACAGTTAATTATTTACCACAAATTTCTCCATTTTATTTGACTGTTACTTATCTCAAATTTCCCCATTTAATTTTTTATTTTAGTCAATTATTATGCTACGTACTACGTATTAACACCCAAGTCAAAATTCATAGAAACAACTCAAATCATAAAAACTAAAACCAATTAAAGAAAAACAGTAGTACTTTTTATGAAAACAATTAAAGAAAAACAGTAGTACTTTTTATGAAAACAATTAAAGAAAAACAGTAGTACTAAAAGACCTGACGATTGGTATACTGATGCATACGTACAAGCTGATGCCAAGGGTGGGGATTTGACCCCATGGGTCATGAGATTGGACCCCAACCGTGTTGTTGGTGGGGAGGCTGCGGATTGGGTCATTCCAACGGCGTCTCCTGGGCCAAAAACTTGGCAAAAGTCGGAGGAGGCAATCGCCAGTCCACAGGGACGACTGCGAGGAAGAGGAGGAGGAGCCCAGAAGCTGGGCCGTAGCTTGGCTGGTCGTCGATGATGGTAGCTTAGCTGATGAAGAAATGGTGGACAAGATCCGACGTGATAAGCTACTCCTGGAGATTTTAGTTTGGGCAGTGGCAAGAGATAACGGGTGATCATTGAAAAGTTCTCGACGATTTGGGATTCTTTTTTTTATTAAGTTTGCAGTGGTTCCATCTTCTGTGGTGGAAATTAGGCTGAACTTCTGATTCAGTAGCCATGAAGGTATTGGTTTCCGCCAGCTACTACGGCTACGCTATTTGTGGGTTTAGCCATCCCAGGAAGAATCTTCCACATAATTCTACTTGGTGCTCAACATTCTTGGGCAAATTTGAATATGTAATCGAAGAAAGAAAACACTCTGCTACTAGGGAAGAGAAAGAAAACCTGAAACGAATCAGATAAGCCCAATTATAATCTCCTAAATCTGTCCGGAATGATATGATATGCGGTTTTCTTTCTTCTGCGCTGCAAACCTGAAACAATGGAAGAAAGGCTGTGGACCTCGAGACAATGACGACTACGTATGTTATTTCATAGGATTCTCGTAGGCAGGGTACAAGAATCCCAAGATACAAGGTGGGAGCGAGGTGACCTTTTTCCCTACAAAGTGGGAGTATCTTTTTTGGGTTTAACTGACGGGTACTTTGAAGGCATTCATTCGTTGACAGGAGTTTTTTAAGTGTTAAATTTTTTAACAAGAGTGAAATTAATTTAAAACAGTATCTAAGTGTAGGGAGTGAATCGATTTGTAAACGGATTTGTTCTTACGATAAGTTAAGTGTAATTTTAGTGTCTGACACCAAATTAAAAATCATTTATAAAAAAAAAATGTGCGTGTGATTATTGTGTTAATGTGTGTGGCTCACATTTGATTAGTAAATTATTGAGCATGCAATAATTAATGTGATTAAACTTCTTATAGTTGGAGTTGGTTTGAACCTTGAACAGCTTAGATTAGTTGGGACTTGGGAGAAACGAGTGATAATTATATTAAAATATTAAGTTTGGAAAAAAAAAAATTCTTTTTTGTGGTTTGAAAAACATTCCTCCTATTAGCGAAGTGGAAGACCTGTAGCCACCACCGACCTCTTCTCTTTCTTGTTTGTCCGTCCACGGCTTTCTCGAATTTCACATATCTCAAAATTGACAGTGAAAGTGGTTGGTGGTTGGTGGTTGGTAGTTGGTACTTGGTACTTGGTGGTTGTGATGAGTTTCCCTCGTTTTTGAATGAGTTATTAATTTGGACTCTTTGCCTGCCATATATTTTCCTTTGCACAATTGATGAAAAACGTGTCGACGAAAAAGTTCCTCCCCTGCCTGCCTTCGCCTTAGTGGTAAAAGCAATTTGATTGTGTGATGTCACCTTCACCCTTTTTTCTCCCCTACAGCGGTAGATGATTACGTCAAGTTTCGTATTTTCTTTTTCAAGGGTTTTGGGTAGACGAAATTTAGGCATATGTTATTCATATTCCATTTTTTATTATTTATATTCCCATAATTTGTTTTATCATTTAATTTAATAAATGAAAACTATATGAATAGAATAATAATGAGAGTTTGGCTAACAAAAATGGGAGTACAAATAAAATATTTCCCAAAATTTATTGTGCCTTGATACGTGGAGATAATTTGTCGGGAAGCCAAATGCATTTACCTTACTCCATTCGATTTGACGAAAGAGAGAGATTTTTTTCCCCTTAAGAATAATCGATACAAGTGCCTCCTCTTTATTAGTTGGATAACTTCTGAACTAGTAGTACAATGAAAAAAAATAAATTAATTAATAACTACAAAGATCGATTCATAGTTACATCAGACTGTAACTTCTGCATTGACAAGTTAAAGGCCATCCCAAGAAGAGGTGCCAATAAATCAGATTAGACCACAATGCTGTGGCCGGAGAAGAATGGGAGTTTTTCTTGCTAAACACAAAATCTGGGTCCTTCGTACGCATCTGTGACAATTAATGTGATGCCCTTTTGCATGTCTGCAGCTTCGATTACACCCTTGATGCCTTTTCTTTATTGGGTTCTCAGGCAGCCTTGGCAGAGTCAAACGCGTGCTCTTTTTGGAGCCAGAAGCTCACTAAAAAGGAGTCGACAACAATCTACATATGGATGATGCTTCATCTCAGGTGACATAGGCATAAAAACAATAATATACATATATAACATATATACACATGAAAGAGCCACGTGTATGACCTGGTTCAGATGGGCTGCAACACAGGGCAGAACCAGCAAACCGGATTCGCCAAAAGCACCACCGAGCTGCTCTATAACGGCTACCATCACAGGCAAGGTTTTCTGCAAAACCACACAACAGGGTGAAATTGAATCAACTGTACTACCATGTATTCTATGCACACTGTGTCCACAGTTGCATCTAGCCACCCCATAAGAATTGTACTCTAATCGAATTTTCTACATCTTTAGCTCTGTTAGTGTAATGATTGACCTAAGAGTAAATATGCAGCATTAGTCAAGCGTGTCACCTGGCTTGCAACGAGTAGAAGAGCAGAGGTATTTTCTTTCTTTGCAAAAGCTGACTTGCTGCCACCACAAATTGTTGAGAGGATATGGATAGCAAGACCATTAAACACTAGCAGGAGAGCATGCAGAAGCCTACAATATAGAAGTTCAGTCACCTCAATAGGTAATTCGTAATCAAAGCCCAGTGAGCTACACGTTCCTCTAAGTATTACCATTAAAAGGTCCTTAAAACCAAATCTAATTGGCTAGAAATTGATCTCATTGGCATAATTCAGACTAGAGGCAAGCTTAGTACTAATTAAGCCACATTGTATCATAAATATAATTGGACAATTATGAGCTGAATAACCTCGTTTTGAGCAGTTCCAATTGTTATCGAATTTTGGATTGACAAGCAAGAATTATAAACCCCTTAACCAAGTAGTCAATGCACAAAGCTTGTTGACTATAACAGTACAGAAGAAGTGATACTTGTTCAAAGGGTGCCTGTCCATCAATAGATTGAATTAAGGTATTGTGATCCAAAGACTGGTTGAAAAGGTAAATAAGATGTGTTTAGATGATTCGTTAATGTATCTAAAATGAGAGAGAGAGAGAGATGGCACAAATTTGTCCCTAGGGAATCACAGCTAAGGTCGGTGATGTGTAGAAATTCGTTGTCACCATCCAAAATTAACCAATATATGAGAAATCAACTGTCAGCACCAACAAACTGAAGAAAAACAAATGAGGCAATTTTTAAAAGGAATATCATACACTCCCATCCAAACAGCTAGAAAAAATACTGCTGGTTTGACCATTAAAAGCAGTGATCTTGATCTGCTAACTTGTATCCAAGGGACCTGAATAAAATGCAAACATTAGAGAAAAAACACCATTTTACTTGAGAGAAAGAAAATCCACCAAAGCCATCTTTCATAATTCAGTTAACACAACTACTTCTGAAAATTGCCTTGACCATTATCGGTTATATCAATTAATTCAAAAACAGGGGAAGTCGGTCAGGGGTCTAAACGATTAAGAAAAATTGAAAAGCTCAAATTTTACAGACACACAGCACAAGCTGAAGAAATATGCAATGTAACTATGAAAGTTAGACCATGACCCATTTAAATTAGCTAAAAAGAGAAAGACCATGTTTTAAGAGTGGCACTCTTATGACAAAAAAGAAATCTACTAGAAAATAATATGATTGACACAGCAATTAACATTTAATGCCTGCAAGGGACCCCTAATTTCCTTCTTCATGGTAAAAGCTGCAAACAATCTACACCGATTATGAGAAAAAATCTGGACTCCACCCACTTATTTTGAAGAGCAATAATTACTTAATAATGAAGCAAACTTGATCTTCACACCCCAATACCTCAAGGCTTAAATTCTATTCAGGCCATATAAGCTACAGAATATATTCCAAGATAGAAAAAATTGCACATTCATGCTTTTTATACACTAGCGCTACCTAATGCAAGCCCAGAAGCAACTCATTCAAAAAGTAAGTACTGATTCTGGTCTTACTAGACTGAGAAAAACTGCACTCATCACAGACAAAAGTTTACGATTTTGATCAGCAAAATTTGCCACACCTGCAGTATGACAAAGAAACCTTCATTAACAGATGAATATGGTATCCAACTGAAGCATATTTATCTTCACACATCACAAGAAGCATAATCCAGTAAGCAGCCCTAATGTCAGCTTCCAGATGATGTGAAAAACCAATGGCATGGAATTCATTACTGTAAATGATGGGCAATGAATTTCATTAGATGAGTCAACTGGAGTTTGTGCCAGATGTAGTACATTGACGTTGGAGACAAGTCTAATCCGCTTTATCTTTAAGTCATGACATCTAGTTGAAATTACACTGCCAAAAACATTTTGCCTAAACGCATACCTTAACGAAATAGATTATTAATTGTGAAACCCCTCAGTATAAGAAAATGCCTACTTTTTCCAGAACATGTTTTTTAACATTATAAATAACATATAATCAAATGTATTCCCTCTGTCCCAAAAATTGGGACATATTTTGGGGAGGCAGCACTTTTTGTGTACAGTAAAATTGTGGGCTGCCCCTTTCGAAATCTTCTGGTCTTACCCGTGTTTGAATACGGACACCAGCCAACTAAAGACAAAAAGTCATAGGCCTTGTAAAAGTGTGCACGTGTTGTGATGGGCCATATGCAATTGTTTATTGTTAATTGATAGAAACTTGTCATTATTAGTGAAGGGTATAAAAGGAAAGTAGCATTGAGAGTTGTTTGAATTTTGCAATGAGACTTATTTTGGGACAGCAAAAAGGTGGAAACATGACATTAACAATGGGTAGGAGGGAGTAAAAGACACCAGGAACTTAGAAGCTCATTAATAATTTGATTACCATTATTGATGGAGAAACAAGTTTTCCAGCTATAAAACCAGAGAGAGGAAATTTGCCAGGCAGCCACATGTAGGAATATTGACACGAAAGGGATTTTTTTAAAATTCTAATAGACAGGTTTAGATTAGTGTACAATGTCACATTTTATACTACACAATTCCTATAGTACAGCCCACAGCAATTACTAAATGCTGAAAGATATATTATGCCAGACCACAGCAAGAAATAACAAATTTATCCACCTTCATACAGTGTCAGATTGTCCACCTTAAATCCAGAGAGAAAAGGCACTGTTGTTTTGAAATATTTATGGGCTAATACAATTGGGTTTGTCCGGGTGGAAGAGTTGGACTCATCCTTTGCTTTAAGTAAAGACATGGAAACTCTGCAGAATCCTGATGGTGTTCCATCTCAAATGAAACTCAACTGTTTTTGTAACTAGATTAATTGGTTTTCCTTATAGTCACAAAAGATGTGCAAGGGACTGTTAAGAGAATATAAGTATTCTTGTAGATAATAAATTAGTAAAGGTATTCTTGAAAATAGTTTGTTAGGTTTGTACTCCTATAAATACTAGTTGATCACTCATAATACGGTGACTAGATGTTTTCCTCCCAAAATACCTGTTGACATGGTGTCAGAGCAAAAGTCCTAGGGTTAGGGTTAAACATCTAGTCAAAAGTACTGTTCATCCGCACTGTGTCATCATGGCACTGTTCACGGCGCAGCAATGTTCACGCCGTTACTGTTCACGCAATACTGTTCACACGTCACTGTCATCTCGAGTTTTGACCCTTTCTTTGGTTTGACGTACTATTCGCCATGATTGAAAAGTTTGTTAATGCGGTTACCACTGACCAAATTGAATCGAGTTTTTCAGCACATGGGTCCCAGAAAACTGTTACTATATCTGAGGAAGATTATGTTAAATTCCTACAGTACCAAGCTACAAATCACGCATCTCTTCCCTCTGCTTCTTTAGCACAAAAAGGTAATGACTCATGGATTATTGACTCCGGGGCTACTGATCATATGTCAGGTACCTCTAAAATTTTTTCTAATTTTCAAGAGTCTACTCCCTTTCCTCATGTTGCTTTAGCTGATGGATCTACCACTAAAGTTAAAAGACTAGGCACTGTAGAAATTAATCCATCACTTCCGCTGACTTCTGTTCTTTACGTACCCAATTTGCCCTTTAATCTAATGTCTGTTAGTAAGCTCACTAAATTTCTACAGTGTACAGTTACTTTTTCTCCTGATTCTGTTGTCATTCAGGATTTGAAGACAAAGAGGACGATTGGTGGAGGGCATGAGCATAATGGTCTTTACTTTCTCAACTTCAATGGTCCGATAGCATGTCCTGCTACTGTTTCTCCTCTTGAAATTCACTGTCGTTTAGGTCATCCGTCTTTACAAAATTTGAAAAAGTTGGTTCCTACTTTGAGTCAATTATCTTCGTTAGAATGTGATTCTTGTCAGTTAGGAAAGCATCATCGTGTTTCTTTTGCTCCTAGAGTCAATAAACGGGTTTCTGAACCCTTTTTGTTAGTTCATTCTGATGTTTGGGGTCCTAGTCGAGTCACTTCAAAGTTAGGTTTTAAATATTTTATAATCTTTGTTGATGATTTTTCAAGAGTTACATGGCTTTATTTAATGAAAGATCGTTCAGAACTATATTCCATTTTTTGTGCATTTGTTGCAGAAATAAAGCATCAATTTGGTGTGCCGGTACGTATACTTCGCAGTGATAATGCGAAAGAATATTTTTCCACTTCTTTTAATACCTTTATGAGTAAGTCTGGTATTATTCATCAGTCCTCTTGTCCTCACACTCCACAACAGAATGGAGTTGCTGAAAGAAAAATTGGACATTTAATTGAAATTGCTTGAACACTGTTGTTGCACATGAATGTGCCCAAACAATTTTGGAGTGATGCAGTTCTAACTGCATGTTATTTAATTAATCGCATGCCATCTAATATTCTTGGAGGTCAATTACCTCACTTTATTCTTTTTCCTCATGAACCTGTGTTTAAATTACCTCCTCGTATTTTTGGATGTGTGTGCTTTGTTCATCAGCTTACTCCCGGGGTGGACAAATTAGATTCTCGTGCTATTAAGTGTATTTTCTGAGGATACGCATGAGCGCAAAAAGGGTATAGATGTTACAGTCCAATTTTAAATCGATTTTTTACTTGTGCTGATGCTACTTTCTTTGAATTCACTCCATATTTTATCAAACACAGTATGCCTTGTGAGTTAGACCAGTGTCCCTCTTTTTCTTCTCCTGTTTTACCAGTCCCTTCCTCTTTATTACCTGAGTTATCTAGTCCACCAGAATACATAGCTCGATTATCTCGTCCTCATCTTCAAGTTTACTCTCGTCGGTCCATGGTTGAAAAAGTTCCTGATATGCCACGCACTTCACCAATTAACTCTCAATTTTCAAATCCAGGTATGACGCCCTCCTCTGAGTTAGATCTTCCTATTGCTTTACGCAAAGGTAAGAGACATTGTACTTCCCATCCTATTTCTAATTTTGTTTCTTATTCTCGTCTCTCTATGTCATATTCTTCTTTTGTTGCTTCCCTTGATTCTATCTCATTCCTAAGTCTATTACCTATGCTCTTAATCATCCTGGTTGGAGATTAGCTATGCAAGAAGAGATGTCTGCTTTGGAATAAAATAATACTTGGGATCTTGTCCCTCGTCCTTCAGGTAAGCCTGTTGTTGGTTGTAAATGGGTGTACACTATAAAAGTGCAGCCTAATGGTTCTATTGATAGATTGAAGGCTCGTCTGGTAGTTAGAGGATTTACTCAGGTGTATGGAGTAGACTACTTAGAAACATTTTCTCCTATAGCAAAGATTACCTCGATTCATCTTCTTATCTCTTTGGCAGCAACTTACAATTGGCCATTGCATCAGTTAGATGTGAAAAATGCATTTCTGCATGGAGATTTGGAAGATGTATATATGGAACAACCTCCTAGATTTGTTGTTCAGGGGGAGAATTCGTGGTTGATTTGTCGTTTGAAAAAATCCTTATATGGATTGAAACAGTCTCCGAGGGCCTAGTTTGGCCGGTTTAGTAGTGTTGTCATGGAATTCGGTTTGACAAGATGTGGAGTAGATCATTCTGCATTTTATCGGCATTCTAATGCTGGTAAAATTTTATTAGTTGTTTATGTGGATGATATTGTGATTACAGGTGATGATGTTGTGGGGATCCAGAAACTTAAATCCAATTTGCAGGCAAACTTTCAGACAAAGGATTTAGGTCATCTACAGTATTTTCTGGGTATTGAGATAGTTCGGTCTAAATATGGGATTTATTTATGTCAAAGAAAATATGTACTCGATATGTTGAGTGAAGTTGGGATGTTAAGTTGCCGACCTGTGGATACTCCTATGGATCCTAATGTGAAATTAGTAGGAGATCAAAGTACATTACTAGATGATCTTAGGCAATATCGAAGACTTGTGGGTAAATTAAATTATCTCACTGTAACGAGAGCTGACATTTCGTTCGCAGTGAGTGTTGTGAGTCAATTTCTTAATACCCCTCGTACTAGTCATTGGGATGCTGTTATACAGATTCTCAGGTATCTTAAGAGTGCACCTGGAAAAGGATTGCTGTATCAAAATCATAGACACACTGATATTGAAGGATATAGTGATGCAGATTGGGATGGTTCTGCCTCAGATCAAAGATCGACCACAGGATATTGTGTATTTGTTGGTGGTAATTTAGTGTCGTGGAAGAGTAAGAAGCAAACAGTTGTCTCCAGATCAAGTGCAGAATCTGAATACCGCGCTATGGCTCACACTGTGTGTGAGTTGGTTTGGTTGAAGAGCATGTTACTTGAAATTGGATTTGAGCATAAACAGCCTATGAATTTAGTGTGTGATAATCAGGCAGCTGTTCATATTGCGTCTAATCCAGTGTTTCATGAAAGGACAAAACATATTGAAGTTGATTGTCATTTCATTCGAGAGAAATTGCTTGACGGAGTCATCAAGACATCTCATGTACCGTCTGTAGATCAATTGGCTGATGTGTTTACCAAGAGTTTAGGGGGCTCTAGGGTGAAATACATTTGTAACAAGTTAGGTGCTTATGATATATATGCTCCAACTTGAGAGGGAGTGTTAAGAGAATATAAGTATTCTTGTAGATAATAAATTAGTAAGGGTATTCTTGTAAATAATTTGTTAGGTTTGTACTCCTATAAATACTAGTTGGTCACTCATAATACGGTGACTAGATATTTTCCTCCCAAAATACCTGTTGACAGGGACTAAATGCCTGGTGATAACACCTTTGAACTTCAATTTATACTTCTCAAAGAATCTCAAAAGTCTAACGCCTTTAAACTTCAATTTATAATTCTCATAGAATCTCAAAACTCTAAACCCAGGGCACCATTCATTTGTGTCACTCAAGCACAACATGCTTGCCAAGGCCAAACATAAACTCAATTTTCTACTGAAGCATCGCTATGTCCACCCCCTTCCCCCCCCCCTTCCAAAAAAAAACCCCCAAAAAAAAGATTTTCTTGTATTTAAGAAGTTTTACAAGAATACTCACCTTTACATGACTCTCGAAGGGCCTGTTGAATGAGAAAAATCAATAAATCATTCCTGAAAAAAGATTTAAACACCAAAAAGTAATAGCCGCAACACTAAGACCACACACATTAAATAATTCCAGTGCAGGACCTACATAATAAACTATAAAAATGCGAAAAAAAGGGTCAATTCTGAAGCAACCTGATGCCATTTGTATATGTCTAACAATTGACAATTCAACAGTAGCAAGTATCTAACAATCACAAAAGCCAAAGCCCAAAAGTAGAGGAGGGGGGAAAATAAATCTCACCCACTAGCAAACCCACTGGCTTGAATATTTGTGAGGAAAGATATTCTCTCCTCCCCCAACCCCTTCCAACCTCCTCCCCTCAAAGTAAGCCTCAAGTTATTCTATTTTTCTTAAAATGCATGAATATTAAGTGGCTGTTCAAGACGTTATCAAAATCCTACCACCAAGCTAGTTGTGACGATTCATCAGGCATAGAGAAGCACAAAAGCAAGATCACATAATCCGTCTTCTCTGAAAGGAAAAACAAGTGGTTTCCAAACATAATAGATAGCTGAATCTCACAAACATAATACGAAAGGAGCTTCATAATACACCTGTTAGACTATAAGCGCATAGCAAAATCCATCATGATCTCTCATGTTCAACCTTATATCAGAAAATAATCGATTCGAGTGGATCAACCAAGCTAAAAAATTATGCTAATATTTCAAAGTAAAATCCATGTCCAACTCCTCCAAAGGAAGAATGTATCAATCCCAAATTGAAGGAAAAATACTTCTCCAGAAATAGTATCACACGGGTATCTCTTGTTAAACATGAATCCATGCTGTGCAGTATCTGAAGATTTATTTACCTTTCCTAAAATGAGAGGAACAAGAAGTGTGAGAATCAGGCTTCTGAACAACTGCTCAGTCGGAACAGATACACCGACTCCAGAAGCTATGAATTTTGAGATGGAAAACGGAATCTGATATATAATAAGTTAGAGTCGGTACATTTTAAGCTGATAAAACATAAGCATAGAACAAAGTTTATCCACAAGAAATCAAAACATACACGAAACGGTTCAGATGCACTACAAAGTGATGGCTCTTGTGAAAGACTACCCAGTATGTGAAAATTCATAATTTTGATAAAATGATAGCTTTTTATTTAAGAAATATGGAGACATAGCAAATTATAACAAAGTGAGAGACTCGGAAAATGTAGAAAATCTCAAGAACATGAAAACTGTTAAAAGAAATTTATAAAAAAAAGTAATTTGTATAAGTGTCTACATTGAAACAGGAAACAACAAAAACCTGATGTTTCAACTTTTTGTCATTTTAATCAATGATGGAACATTATAAATAATTATATAGCTAAAATATACTCTACGTGTATTTTCTGTTAGCCTCTTTTAAATGCCAATGAAACCATGTAAAACCACAAGACAAAGGGATATAAGTAGAACTGACTACATTTCCCTTGTGAATACAACATAGTTTTGTGCCATGGTGGCTTTTTGTTCATCCTGCCACCATGAGTGAGAATACTCAAAGAGGGGAAGAGAAAACATCAAAATTGATTAAATATCAAGCTAGAAGATAATTATCTATGACTTATTAAGTCAACAAACTTCAAAAGGCATAATGTAGCTAAATTTCAGAAAAAAATTAGGATATACCTTGAAAATCAGTGACAATACCAATAAAATTCAAGATGATACTACTCTTTAAACATAAAGAAAAATTGTTTCAGGATCCCACGATCACAATGATAAAACTTACAATTAAAATTCCTAAAAGATTTGATATAACTGTCATTGCAAGAGCAAGGGCAGAATTCCCACCAGCCAGCTGCATTTAGCAATATAAACCTGAAGTCAGATTTTGCAAACATATTTTTATTTTTCTCTTCCTTTATTTATTTATTTATTTATTTGGGTTCCTTTATTATCCTGTATAATTACTAAGAGCAGACTGTACAAGGAGACTGATGACATTCAACACACCCGAGTCAGTGCTATTCCACTTGATAATGTTGTTGGCATACAGCAAAATATGGCCAGTCCTAAAAAAAAAAAAAGAATAGTCATATTTTTACCAAAGAAATAACAGAACAGTTAAACAGAAAGGGATTTAATTTAAGATGCTTATAGCACGCCAATTAAATAAAAAAACTCACTAGGTAGTAATGCTACCAATGGGAGAACAAGAAAAACAATTCAAGAGCATTACTTTTTTCTACTATAGCTATAGGTAACTGGGAATAAGGGACAAAAGACCAAGAAAATCAAGTTCACTTTACAGGACACAACTAAGGATTTAGGTGAAGAACTTTGATTTTGTCAACATACAAGAGATGTAAAGAAACACATTGTGAATAACGACAAAAAACTGTGGAAGGAAAATAGAATCCTAAAAGCAAGGCAACTTATCAAACCTGTAACAAATTCCTGTGGTTGGAGCTTAAGTAGTAATATAACCTTTGAAAAAAATGGAGTGAAAAACAAAATTGAAGCCTGCATTGGGAAAAATTAAAAAAAGGAGTTCAATCCCATAGAAATACAAATGTTGAACAGAATTTGATCTGCCATATGAACCTTAAAACTGTGACATAAGAAGAGAACAGATCCAAAATAAGTGGATTAATAAGTAGTAACGTGAATCTTATTAATCGAGAAGAAGCAAAAGAAAAGAGCAATATATAAGTTCCAAATTCCTCCGCATATAATGGATTGTTTCTTTTCCATTTCGGCAAGTTAACATCCTGTTCCCCGATAGAAATACAAGATGAAAGAATAAAGACAAATTGAATTATTTAAGAGAAATGAACCTACAAAAACAAAAAATGGCTCATAAGTATTCAGGGTCATACAAGCCCAAATAGTCCAACTTGCCAAGCTTCAGCAGCGGCACCAATTTCATCAGAACGCAGTGTCAATCCTGTTTTGGAAAAAACATAAGGAAATACATATTTTGAAGTTTTATAACGCAATGACCAGTGGGACTAGCAGAGCATTCAACCCCACTGGGCTGGGGGTTTTCATCCTGCTCTCTCCAGTTCCCCTTAGTAAAAAGAACATAAAAAGCGATAAACAAGCACAAAGTACCTGAAATTACAAATATCCCAAAACTGCTAAACCTTGATAGATATAGTCTATCAGCAATACAACCAGGTGTAGGATTTGCAAGTCCTAATGCTACTCCACCGATAAGAGCTGCAAATTACAAGAAAAACAGATATATTAGCTCCTCATTTTTTGAGCTACAAGTCAAGTAAGTAGATCATTTTTTGTCCAACTACAAATGGCAATGTTATCAAACACAGAATTGTTCGATCAGCCAATTAAAAAAAGAAGAGTATTACTGAAACAACTTGGACTCACATGCAAGATGTCATTATCTGTTACAGATAAAAGCATCATAAGAACTAGAGGTGTGCAATTAGCAATTTTCATTTCAGAGAAGGGAAACTCATAAGCATTACCATATTCGCACCAGGCAAAGTTAATTACAAGCATAAAACTTAGTTCATAAACTTGCCTAATGGAAGAAAATTATTGGACGCGAATTTCAACAATGATTTTGTCCAATTGCCAGCTTTCACTTGTGGAAGTTGCTCTTTACTTCCATCTCCCTAAATCAAATTCAACAATTTACTCATTTTTTGTTATATAATGCAGAGGAAAAAGTACGCATTACAAGAATTAGATAGTCGAAAGTAAACCTGATGGGAGAGACTACTACTACTTGCTCTGATAGATTTGCTTGAAATGGGGAGGTGGATAAAGTGAACATCACACGAATTGCCACCTCCACTTAAATTCCGGCTGCCAGAGGGTGAGAAGGAAGTAATCGGGGATTGCACGCGCCGACGATGGCCAGGCGGAGATGTGATGGCCGGCGATTTGAGGCTTAGAGTTTGAAGTGTTCCCGCCATCACGATTGAACGCAAACAACGGCACAGCAATTCCAGGTGAAATGGAATTGAGAGGGAGAGTATAAGAAGAAGCGGCGGACCTGGGTGTCAGTGGTTCCGACGCGATAGCCAAGCGTTTTTTCGTTTGCGTATGTGAGAGAGATTATCCTGACCCACCCGATTGATATCTAAGCAGGTTCAGTCGAGTAGAGTCGGGTCCGTCCTCAACTACTAAACACAGAGTTGGACCAAGCAAGTCCCTATTTTAAATTGACTTTAGCCTTTAGGATGAAAGACTTTGGACTAGAGTATCCAGCGAGCCACTGGGCCTTTGGTCCCAGTGGTCACCACCAAGAATTGTTATAATACGTAACAATTTTCATTGGCCATCTTCGATGAAATTTTTATGCACATCGAGTCTTCTCCCTCTCTCTCCTAAATTAGGTTATAGGAATTATATCGTTGCAACAAAAAAAAAAAAAAGATTAGAGTATCCAGCGAGTCCTTTTTTATTTTTTCTTCGCATTCATCTTATCGAAAGGAAAATCAACTTTGGACCAAGCAGGTTTTTGTAGAAAATGACTTTACGATGAAAATGGCTTTGGACCAAAACATGATGGCAATTTTTCACAAACTCGTTTTGTGAGATTCTTTGGAAACCACTTTTTCCTTTCACAGGAGACGGAGTATGTGATCTTGCTTTTGTGCTACTTTATGCCTGATGAACCGTCACAGCTAGCTCGGCGGTATGATTTTGATAAAGTATTGAACAGCCGCTTAATATTCATGCTTTTTAAGAAAAACAGAGAATAACCTAAGACTTACTTTGAGTTGACAGCAGGAGGTTGGAGTGGGCTGGGGGGAGGAAAGAAATATCTTTCCTCACAAATATTCAAGGCAGTGGGTTTACTTGTGGGTGAGAATTATTTCCTTCTCTACTCCTCTCTTCTCCTGGGCTTTGACTCCTGTGATGATAATTTTTCACTAAATTCAGTTCATACAAATTATTGTTCTCAACACTTGCAACTGACAAATTTCCACCCCCATTTGCCACTTTGATGGCATATATAAGACAAAACCATTTTGTGTCGAGTCATCACTTGGGTTGGGGTGACGGCATTGGTCTAAAAGGAGTACCCTTGAGCAAATTAGACATCGCCTTTCAGAAACCATAACCAGGAGTTTCCTCGAAATACAACACGCGTAAATAGCAGTAACGCGGAAATTTGCTTCAGTATGACCTCGCTAGCATATGCATATGCATATGATCATAAGTTCCGAGCCACCCAGCTATGAAGTTTTCCAGTTGTATGCGTCATTATGTAATAATAGAACTCAGCACAAGATCCCGTTGCCAACGTAAATCCAGGTGAACAAACCCAGAGGGGAAAAAAATGCGCTCTTACTTTTAGAGAAAGAATCAAGTTCCTCTGCCTTCAAGAGAGTACCAAATCCACACCAGCAAAAAGAATTTAAGCACCAAAGGATAAATTAAAATTAGAGATTAACCGAATCCATCCAGAATATATGCAACACCAACACAATTTGTGCGCCTGTCAAAGCATAAGATTAACATTGTGATTCATAATACATGCAACACCATTACAACATGCACGCATGTCAAAGCATGAAAATAAGAGCATTCGTTACACTCGAGACAGAAAAGATGAAACCCACGTGTTATGCAACTCCACAACTTCAGATGCAAAGCATACAGAAGTCACTAGTTTGGCACTCAAGAAGTAAAGATAGAGACCACAGGAATTAAGAGCGCTAGTTTATGAATACGTAGGTAGCGGCCGTTCTAACTCAAATTAGATGGAAAAGAAGTAACAAAGTAGATGGAGGGAGAAGCATATCAGGGTAATTATTTCCTCACTGAAAACTTTCTAATCATGTTACTTATGACAACCTCCTTGCAGTAACTCCAGAGTGAAATGCTTAAAGTTGCTAACTGTCAAAGATCAACTCCAAGGTGCAAATATAATAACTCTTTGTATATGACCTTAAACTGTTTCTGAATATCCTCCCAGTAGTTTACACAGCAAAGCATATCTAAAAAACCCCAAGTACTTGTTCCAAAAGTGAAGGAGAGGAAACCAAGAATGCTGATGTTTCTTCACACTACGCTAATCTTATGGCCATATAGTTTTTCTTAGAAATCCAATTAAACTATCAACATTTGTCAACCTGGAAGATAACTCATGAAGATTGGCACATTAAGATATTTCCATCCAATAAAAGAAAGGCTAATCTAAACATAAAACGTACCAAGGATGTGCAAGCAGGAAGCAAGGCATAACCATCAGTCTATTACTGATACTAATCCTGTAATATCTAGACAGAAATCTACACCACAATCTGATACAGAACAGGAGGCAGAAGATTTAAGCCTTAAAATTTAGCACCAGATGTGAATGAGAAACATAAAAGCAAACTTCCGGTCAAAAAATTCAGAGAGTCAAAATTCAAAAACAAGAAAGTCCCACGAAAGCAACTTGGGTTGTTCATCAGACATTTCCTAGGACAGTCCTTAACCATCAAGCATTTGAAGCAATATACATACATGCAGATAGTAATTGGAAAAAAAAAGCATGAGAAGCAGGAGTGTGGCAAATTATTTCTTCTCCTTTTGAGGCACCTAATCCTAGAAAACTTCTTCATCCATTAGCCACAATCCCAAATTTTTTTTTTTTTCCAAAAGGATGACGGTGGAAACTGTCTACTCAGATTGAACAGAGATTCCCAAAATATACGACTTCAAAGAACAACTAAACAATAGCATTTCCCAGCAGAAGAAGAGAATTGTATTTACTCTAGACAATAGAACTACTCTCTATTCAGTATAATATCTGTCCATTCAGTAAACAACCAAGGTCTACCTAAATAGTGAAGAAAAGAACATCATGATAATAGCTTTGTCCAGCGCCAGACAAAAATTGAAACTATCTTAAAGAAAATAAATAAAACAAATTCACTTAGACGTTTTTATGCATTCTTCCAAGCATGCCAAAACTCCCTCTTAGTATTTCTAGTTTTCAAGAGAGTACAGCAGTCAACTGTTGCTTTGGAAAATAAAAATGGGAATGATGAAAAGGAAAGAAAACCCCATAAAGAAAGGAACAATGGCTAAGCATCAGTAATGAATAAGTTCTCAGCATTTTATTCATCTAATCAAAGTTCAACACTTAAAATGGCTGATTATTTTAAAGAAGAAAAGAGAAGCAGAACCAGTGGTGTGTTGTCAAATGCATACTATATTCATCAAAGCCACTTGCTTTTCCTTTCTTCTTCTTGCTGGTACTGATCACCATCACGATAACCAATCTTTAATTGAAGCATCCATAGAACTGAAATATACAGCTTTATAAGCATATACCTAGGTTAGACAATATCCGAGGGAACAAAAAGAAACATAATCGCTGTCTAAAATCCATCGTCCTTTGAAAATCATTAAGCCCCGCAAGCTATGAGCATCCATGTCAAGTATCCATTACCACATCAGAATCACCAAATTATAACTAGAAATAGGTACATTTGGAACAAAACCTCAGGAATCTGAAGAAACACTTCTAAAAGCGCAGCATTCTATAATATTTCCAACAGAAAAGAACAGTGCCCTTAACACTTCATATCAACCATCCACTACTCTATTCACCAGTCTACCCTCTTTATGTAAAGAACTCAGGTTTCTAAAAACATAAAGCAACCAAAAATACCCCCGTACCTAAATGTTAACCAATCAGTAACAAAAAACTAATCTACAAGTAACACTAAACACGCCATCTGAGTTACAATTCATTTGAGCACTTCAAAACATCACCAGCAGAGAAAATAGAGCGTAAATCAAGAAACAAGCGTACGCAATCAATCCCCGATGCTCGTCCCCGTAAGAAGCCAGCTCCACCAGCAACCTAGTGCAAACCCTGGTCGACCATATAACAAAAAACCCAGATATTACCATAATCAACATCCCGCCCTGGGGCACAAACAGTGAAATTGCCGATGAAATCACAATCGGCAACATACAATATCCAATCAGGCTAAGACACCTGTACAAATCCAGATTCCCGTTTCGCCCAGCGAGCATATTGAACACCACGTAAAGAAACAAAGCCGCCACTGTAACCCACCCCAATATGATCCCGAAGTGGAGCTTTCCAGCTAGCAACTGAAATAGCCCGAACGCCATAAGGAACAAAAACGGACCGGAGAGATCCGCGTCGTCGTGGAGATCGGCTCTTACCCGGAAAGGATTGAGGATTGAGATGGTTTTTTGATAAATTTGTTTAGTGTTGATGCCGAGTTCTTCAAGGAGAGGTGCCTCGTCTTCGAATCCCATTCCACCGCCTCCGATGGTGGTGGGAGCGAATTGAGGGGTAGAGAAGGCAGTGGAAGACGGGGCAGAGGACACGTCGAAAGACATGAAAGGGATGTTAGGGTTTGCAGATCTCGGAGGCTGAAACGGAGCCGATGGACGACGTTGCTGGGGGCCGGGGCCTATCCCAGTACCGGGGTTTCCCCCGGAGGGAAATACTACCGGTGGCACGTTGAAGTCCTTCGCCATGGATCGGAGATCTGTTGATTCTTTCCTTTTTCGTCTTTTTCCAAAAAAATTGGATAAACAGAACTGATTGGTGTTACAAAATTTTGTTGAATAAAGTTATGCCCGGTTACAGTAGTAGTATTTGGGGATACTCGTCATTCGAGCACACTGACCTTCTCCATTAAGTCTTGCTGACTTCTACCGTTTGTTCGTGGGGATGATAATTTCAACGTAATCCTCCCAAATTTCTAAAATATTCACATGCACCTTTTAGATTTTCTAATATTGAACTTTCCTCCCCTGTACTGTATGTGCTCATGTACATAACACAGAGTCACATACATTTAAAAGTTTAAAATACATAAATGCCCCGTTTGGCAAGTGAGTTTTTTGAGTGTTTGTCTAAAATTTTACTGTAGCTTATTGTAGAAGTTTTTAAAAAATTTTTGAAGTATGTAAATTTTTGAAAATTTTGAAGTGTATAGTTTAAAAACTTTGAGAAATTTTTTGAAGTTACTGTAACTAAAATTTTTAAAAAACTTGTAGCAGACGAACTTGAAAAAAAAACTTGCCTGCCAAAAAACTTTGATTTGTAACTTTTAACATAACAAGAGAATTACAATGCAATTTCCAATAGAGACACTTTTTTTTCACTCATTACTTGATTTCAACTCTTTCTTCTTATTTATTCCATTTCCAAATATTTTAAGATTCTTTAGCTTTTTTTTATCGGAGATTGAAAGTTAATCTTATAATCCAATTAAAATTGATACTTTTGTCATAGAAAAATCTTCCAATTGAACAAAAGTATTTTTTCTTGACCAATCTGCTAACTTTTGTTGATACATAAGACTCGCTTCTTTTGTCAATTTTACATACTAGTGTGATAGCACTAATTGTTGCTCATGCAATAAATATTGTTGCTATTCATGAACCTCTCTCGAACTCTTATATATATGCACACTCTTTTAGCTATTACTATTATATATATATGATTAATTTTTTTCTACATTGATAATAAAGCAAATTGCGCCAAATATCACTAAACTATATGCTTGTGCTAGTGTAGGGTACTAAATTATTTTCTTAACCCAAAATATCACTGAACTAATCAAAATGCATTTCCTATCATTTTTTACATGTATATTATAAATCTAACGTACTATAGATGTATATATATGTGTATATATATATATATATATATATATAGTCAACCTCTTTTGAATTTCTACATCCATGCATAGTCTTTATAAGCTTTAACTATCATAAACATGCGGTGTTATATATGGAAAACTTGTATCACGCACATGGCCAGTATGGATCATTAGTTTGTACCTTCAGCAGAAGAGTGGAAAAAGGAACCTGGGCTAATCTGTAATATTCAGAAAGATGGGAATTCGAATGTGGTTTCTCCTAAACTGTCTCCTTCCACATCATCCCTGTCGTTGAGAAGGTATGGTAGAGAAAACCGACGTTAGTCCCATAGCTGTGTAGCAGCCCCGGCGGAGGTAAACCAAACGACTCTTCCCCCTCATGCCGACTGCAGCCGCAATTGCTCGTTTCCAAGTCCAAGTTCTCCATCCATCCCCTTTCTTCAAACCATCAACCCTCTTCTCAAAATTCCCTCGCTCTTCTCTGCCAATTCCCTCCACACTCAAGCGCAGCAACACTCGCTTCCGTCGACTGTCCTCTCTCACTCCACCTCTCTGCTCCAGCTCCTCCCACTCATCCTCCGCCGGCGGCTCCCTCGAGGTCACTTTTACCTGCCGTATTCTTTCTGATCCTTCTATCATTTGTTCAATTATTTATGTTGATATACTCAATCCCAATGGCAGAGTCATTCCAGTAGCGAATCGGGTGGGTCAATAGTTGGTGATTTATTGGATTATCTCAACGAGTCCTGGACTCAATTTCATGCCACTGGTATATTCAATAAGCAACCTATTAACGAGCCTCCTGCATTTTGCTTATATTTAGTTACAGCTCAAGGTTTCAAATTTATTTTTAGTTACATCGAAGTAATTAACGTGCGTAGCATTGACTAGTCTTCAGAGTTCGAATCTTTGGGGACTTATGTTGATATTTAGTGCTTTTTCTAAAAAGTAAAGCATCAATACTGAACAAGTTTACTTGAATAACGTGCTAGTATTGTGTCTGGATACATAGAAATTATCTTTAGATAGTGGCTCGGCATTAAGTAGCAATTTTTACGTCGGAGGAAAAAGCATAGAGAATTATACTAGACCTCAATGACAAGTCCAATTAGCCTAGAAAATGTTATATGGTGGGAGAAAGAATGAACGTTGGAGAATTAGGCCATTGGAACACTACTGAACGATGGTTTGGTAAATGCTATGGCCAGTGAGGTTAGAACATGCAACCAAATTATACTAAAAAAGAAGTGATGAATGACTAGGCTTTCTCTTTTGATACAAGAATGAGAATATTTTCTTGGTGGGAAGGTTGCTGCTAGAGCATAAAACAGCAGCACCTTCGCTTGCTGCTGTTCTGGTTTTCCTTTTTGCCCTCATCGATTGGTGCATTGCAGTTGGACAAATAGATTTTTATCTACCTATCTGCCAAACAAATGTTGATTCAAAACTATATGAAGGAAAAGTTAGAGCTAAGAAAATTTCCCTAAGTGAATACAGATGAGGAATTCATTCTACACAACTGACATGCTTTTGACTCTATACCTACAAAGCATAAGTAAGAGCACATCGAGATTTGAATTCTTACATATGCTATATGCAACATATGATAGAAGACAGTCTGAAGCAAAACTTGTTTTAACTTGCTATTTACCCTTTTGGCAGCTGAAGCAAAACGGCAACTACTTGCTGCTGGATTTCATCTTCTAAATGAGAATGATGAGTGGGACTTGAAGCCTGGTGGGCGCTACTTTTTTACCCGGAATATGTCCTCTTTGGTTGCATTTGCCATTGGGGAAAAGTGAGTGAAAATTTGCTACAATTTGATGTGATGTGACATTACATAATAAATTTAAATAGATTTCAATCTTTTTCTTTATTGCAATAAATTAGTGGATTTCAACTTGTAAATGACAATGTGGGACTTGAACTTTTTTAGCTGGATTATGTTCTCTCTGGTTGCATTTGGCATTGGGGAAAGATAGTGAACACTCGCTACAATTTGAGATGATCATGCATTACTTAATATTTAAGTAATTTTTTTAACTTTTTCTTTATCACAATGAATGTTTCATATGATAAATGGGATAGTTTTAACATTCGATAAAGTAAGGATAACCGGTAATTTTAGTATATGTTGCATTTATTCAAAAAAAGGAGGTATGATGCATAGAATCTACCGTTTTTTTAAAATTTCTTTCTAGATAGTACATTTTCCGTTTGCCTTATTTAGATCCAACTAGCCATATTTATTTCTTTCCAGTGCAAAGAAGTACCTTTACTCACTCACTTATCAGTGGTTCTTCTAAAGATTTAAACCAGCAGGATATGGCCTTGAAAATCTTTGCTTCCATTTCTTCGCTCAACAACGCAGTTTATAAAAATATGTTGCAGGTATTCCAATGGGAACGGTTTTCATATAATTGCTGCTCACACTGACAGTCCATGTCTCAAACTGAAGCCAAATTCTGCCTCAAGCAAATCCGGCTATCTTATGGTTAATGTGCAAACTTATGGCAGCGGTCTATGGCATACTTGGTTTGATAGAGACCTAAGTGTTGCTGGAAGGGTCATCGTTAGAGCCGACAATGGCTGTTTTCTGCATAAGCTTGTTAAAATTAAAAGACCTATTCTACGAGTGCCTACATTAGCCATTCATCTTGACCGGTTTGTCATAGTTCATAAAACTGTTAATGGATATTTTTTGTACACATACACACACGGTCTCTCTGTCTTTCTCTCATTTTAAATGAATGTTTACAAAAGTTTACTTTGGTTTCTGGGGGTTGAGTAGCTATTTGAAATGTTTATGTGCTTTGCATAGTTATAAGATTTAGAATCACTCATTTAGTCTGGGATTAATTGAAGTTTAATATTCACCTCAGTATCAAATCATGCTTTGTGTATTTTATTACCTTTGGATTAGAGTGCGGAATGTGGTTTTAATGAGCTTTGGCATGTAAAACTTCTCTCTTTGTTATAGCAATAACTTTGGCATTCATTACTGGCTTTTGAGGACGATATATTCTCTATATATTCTCTAACCTGTAATTTACATGAAACTTATGGATATTAGTGTTTTATAACATTTGATTATGTCACATACATGAATTTCATCCTGCAATAGGAAGCATCCATAATAGCTCATGTAAACTAGTAAAACAATATATGGATAAATCTATCAAAAATAAGAAAGAAATTCTCATAATTTATTCTAGTGATATCTTACTCTTTTGGCAAAACCAGTGACTAATTTTAATTTTGCTGTTGTACAAAGCTCTTGGTTCAATTTCACAGGTAATGGGCAATTTCACAAATTAGTTGGTGCACATTCCATGATGCATTGTTGTGTGCTGTGTACTTCATGGAAAAAGAAACTAGTTCCATATGTCATGTATCATAAATGCAAAGTCTTAGCTTTTTTGTGGAGCCTCTGTCTTAATTGTTTTGTAGGCTAGCATAAATGTATCCAGTTGAAGTTTGTAGGGGCCTTTTTCATAGTTCACTGTCTCATCATATGACAATCATATTACAAAGTCTTAGTCCTTTTGTGATGTTTTGCTTGCTCATTTTGAAGCATTTTGCTCATATTTGGTTTATTATGTTTTTGGATTTTATGGTTCATTAGTACAGTGAACAAGGATGGGTTTAAGCCCAACCTTGAGACACATCTCATTCCACTATTGGCAAAAAAAGTGGATAATGCATCTGCTGAGACCAAAGATAAAATTAATATGTCATCTTCAAAAGATGCTCACCATCAACAGCTACTGCAGGTAACTCTTTGTTTGCTGGCTATATTGAATATTTGCTTGGCTACTTTCAGCAGCAAGAGGCGCCTACACTGTTTAAAAGACTTTTAGGAGAAACCCTGGATTATGAAAAAAATGAAATTCTGTTGCAAGTCTTTTATTGTAAAACCTCATTTTTTTCCCCAAATGCTTACTGTCATTAGAACCAGCATGCAAATTTCCTTCTTATAACTCTTAGGCTTCCTCTAATGCAAATAAAATGTCCTGATTTAGGAGAAGGATGACTTAAATTCTAGGTAAGTTTGTGGTGCTTGTGGATGTTAAATTTTTATTGTTTCTTTTACGTTTCTGTCATTTACAGATCTTGTCAGATGAGCTGGCCTGTAACATTGATGACATCATTAGTATTGAGTTGAATGTTTGTGATACTCAACCTAGCTGTCTTGGAGGTGTGAACAATGAGTTCATATTTTCTGGAAGACTGGATAATCTTGCTTCAAGCTTTTGTGCACTGCGAGCTCTTGTTGATTCTTGTGCGTCACCCAAAGATTTGTCAGATGAGCGTGCGATTCGTATGGTTGCTCTTTTTGATAATGAAGAGGTATTGCCTTGTGTAGCAATAATGGGAGATGTAATTTCCCGAGTTTGTTCTTATATTTGGCTACTCTGAGGCATTATTCTGAAAGTTGAATTACTATCTTTGAGCACATTTATCTTTTGTGCACTATATACACAATTCATATGCCCTAGACTCGCAGGTAGATTGCATGATCTCTTCTTCTTCAAGTCTATGGATTTGTCTATTATGTACACGTTTGAGACTCTAAGCTTCTTGCAGTGTTCATGAAATTGAGTCAGACTTTATAACAGTTTGCTGACTACATATTTGCTTTAACTCACCTAATTTCACGTGGTCGCTGCTGTCATTTCTGATGTCATCACCTAACCACAAACTATGATATTACTGGTTTAGCACAGATGATGATACATTTTCTGTTTATCTTTCCTGCCTAATTAGAGAAATGAGTGATTGACTGCAACTGGTGTTACTTGCAATTAATATGTGAATGTATTTGTTGTTACCCAATCCCAATTTTCCTGTTACTCAGTTGTTCCATTTTGTTAATTAATTATCATGTTGCTTGTGTAATGCTTCAGTGCAACTCGTCATGTGCACTTCACTTGATCTTTGAATTTCATGGAAGGGCCCACATGTACAAATTCTTCATCTTTTTCCAGCTATTTTTTAAGACAGTGGATTTTAATGTTGACTAGTTTGTGCTCTGTAGGTGGGCTCAGATTCATATCAGGGAGCTGGTGCACCAACTATGTTTGAAGCCATGAGACGAATAACTGATTGTTTAGATCTCCACTATGTTAGAGAAAGCAGTTTTGCACGTGCAATTCGCTGTTCCTTTTTGGGTACATTTCCATTCGGTTTAGCCTGTTTTGCTGCAGATGTCTCTTTTTTCGGCATATAATCTGATTTTACTCGAATCTTTCAGATTAATTTCTTGAATCAAGCTTTGAGCCTCTTGCCAATCCATTTCTGGCCAAAAATGTTGAAAAGAAATTAAGAGAATGACTAACTGCTTGATGTCCCTGTGCAGCATCATAAATAGATATATACACAATGCAATAGTGGTACTGTAGATGTAGCATCAGAGGACGATAGGTGTTACTGTTTCCCTTTGGAGCTTCTGAAGGGATGTCCATCTATTACTGTTTCACTGATATGGTGCAGTGTACCTGTACCGTTAGTGTCCATTTGGTTCATGGGATGACATAGGATAGAATTATTGATCCCATGCTGTACCTTGTTTGGTTGCTTTCTTACACAGGAACCAATCTTCCCATTTAACCAAATTACTCCCTAGCTCATGGGATAAAATAACCCTGTTGACATTTCGAATTCATTTGGTAACTATTGAATCAATTTATGTTTAGCGGACATAATGTTGCAATTTCCATTGGATGTCCCATGAATAATCTATTACTAACCAAACTTCAGAAAACGTTAGTTGAGGTGAAAAATCCAAGGATGAGTTATCTCGGTAAAATTTATCCTGGTATGACTTGGCCAATTCATTCCATCCGCGAACAAATTGGGCCCTGACAGAATGGTATGCTTCATTGACTAGTGTGCTAGCATACAATTGGTGTTTAATGTGCATGCTTTAACTTTACTTCCTTGCTTAGGAAGGGATACATTTAGCCTCTTAAACATGGACTTTTTTTGGGGGTTCTTTTTGTCAAGTCTTATGAAAAATTAAAAATTGTGTAGCATTTAAACTGAAAATTTTTGAAATTAAAAGTAGCTAGCCGTAATTGGTGACTCGAAGAATGCTGTCTCATTTACTTGTCTTTGAAAATTAAAAAGGTAACGAGGAAATATATAAGCATTTTAAAATCTTTTCAGCTTTTGATACAATCAAATTTTCTCCCTGTTGATAATTAAATTTCGAACTCAGACAAGCCTTCTGTCTTTTGTGCTAGTGTCTGCTGACATGGCTCATCGAGTTCATCCAAATTTTATGGACAAGCATGAAGAGCACCACCGTCCAGAACTGCAAAAGGGACTAGTTATCAAGCATAACGCCAACCAACGCTATGCTACAAGTGGAGTTACAGCATTTCTTTTTAAAGAAGTTGCAAAAATGAATAACCTTCCAACTCAGGTGAACGCGGTCATCAATACTGAAGGAAGATTATGAGTACACACTGAAGTTTCTGATTTACTTCTGCCTTTTCAAAATTTGTTCTTTTTGTGATGGTACAAATAAATTTCCACCCTGTATCTGTTTTGGTACTGGAGCGCAATTACATGCTGGACTAAATAGATGATGTCTCACTCTTTGGACATCTGCAACGCTAGTTGTGGTACAAGAGATGCAGAAAATGAATGGAAATGTATATGGCTAACAGAATGAAAAGAAATAGAGTGTGACTTGTTGATTTTCTTGGAGTTTTTTCAGAAAAGGTGTTATGGAAGGGTGCCTTTTTCAAGTTGCTAAGATATGATAGATAGCTTCATTTGGCAGATTTAACAGATCCTACTTTGAATTACGGTCTTATTTTAACTTTTATTTGATGGCCTTTGCTCATCAGATACCACTTGTTTTGTTAATGAAATTACAGACAATGAAGTGTTTTAAGTTGCTCAAACAAAAGTAATCTATACACTAGTAGCCCACAAACTCTACATTCTTATGTAATTGTCTGAATCTTTTTCTAATGTGCAAAACATGTTGCCCCGCCTTGACCATTGATGCAACTATCCGTTTTTCTCATTTTTATTTACCAAACAGGCTTTCTTTTCCTTGTCATTTTCCTTCCACCCCTTGATTTTGTTTGTCCCTGCTGTATGGAAATTATACCTTATATGTATCGTGTGGACTTGTTGGATAATTTTGCTGCAAATTATTGTTTTATTTGTAAAATTTACTATGTGATTCCAGTGATCAACCTTCTTCATTTCTTTCTGGACATTGATATCAGTGCTGAAACTAATTGAGTATCTCTGTTCCATCACTTCATAGGAATTTGTGGTGAGAAATGATATGGGCTGTGGATCCACTATTGGTCCTATACTTGCTTCCGGTGTTGGAATTCGCACTGTTGATTGTGGCATTGCTCAGTTATCCATGCACAGGTAGCAAAGCTAATTATTTAATTTGTGCAATAGCTTTAGACACGAAATGCAAGTCTTCATATAGTTTGCTTGAATGTGCAAAGGAAACGAAACTATTTGAGAAGTCTAAGAAGTGGAATTTCATTAACTCCGTACTGTATTCATTGTCAGTATCTAGAATTATCATGCCAAAAGCAAAGATGCATTATTTCATGCATTGGTGATGGGGATTGCACCATGTCCTACAAGATGACTTATATGATAGCTAGATGATTAATTTCAATCTCATTGCATGGAACTGAGTGCACTCTTTGGTAGTATCCTATAATGTGACGATTCCAACCCTTTTCATCTTATGAGCTTCATGAAAATCTTGGTATAATTGATTTGGCCTCATGCATATCCGTTAGGTGGAAAAGTGGTTTCTAATAGTTGTTTGTGATTTTTATCTCCCTGTAATTCATGCAGTGTTAGAGAGATATGTGGGAAGGAAGATGTGGACTTTGCATACAAGCACTTTAGGGCGTTTTACCAGACATTCTCTAGCATTGACAGGAAGCTGAATGTCGATAAGTAGCCTGGTGGGGGTTGCTTCACTTTTTCCTTATTTGTCTCTTACCAGAGAGAGAGAGAGAGAGTGTGTGTGTGTGTGTGATTGAATTTTCTTGAAAAGTAAATGCTTTCTGAAAAGAGATTATAGCTACATAAACTTCATAGTTCCGCATGAAAGGAAACTGCTATTGTAAGAAAGATGGACAGATGACTCCAATTGACAAAGTAGGTAATGTGTGGGGTAGTAAATACTACTCCCAAGCAGGCAGAACGGGTGAAAGACATCACTAAACTCTTCTGGAAAGGAACGGACCCATTCAAATTTTCTTCTGTTCAGAGTTCTTGGAGTTTCTTTTATTTGCGGAAGAACTTGTCCCAGCATTATTTTCAGCCCCAGTTTGGGGACTGGGATGATCAGCTTCACGGCATAGCTTCATCTCCTCATGTAAAAGCTCGTTCTCCTGCCTGAGCTCTTTGGCTTTCTTCCTCAGCTTCTCATTCTCAAGCATGATGCGGCAGTTCTCCCAGAAGAGATTAGCATTTTCTTTTTCCATGATGAACTGATAAAGGTATGTGCAGAACAATAATAGTTAAAGAGCGAATTAGATAGAAGGGCCGAAAAAAAGAAAAAGGTAAAAGGAAAATTCTTGTAATAGGGGAAGAAAGCAGAGAAGTGAAAGTTTTTATTGCTAATCAGATGCATATGATCTTTATTTCTGTCAAATTTTTACGTGTAGAAAATATTGAAAATCTATGTTTCACAGGTTGAAGACTACAGTGAGATAAGGGCGGCACAATTTGATTCAGTCTCTATCAGAGAACATGGTGAGTAATGCAATGAAACAGTCAAGTATGTGCAAGAAAATCCTATGGGAATAAAATGGATAGAATGAATGTGTCGCATCCTTTGCTCTTTTTGTTATCAACAAAATGCTGAAGTAAGAGGAGGAGGCAATGATTCCGACTCTTTATCAGCACGTATGATAAAATAACAAGGCAAGAAATATACAATGATGACATTTGCTGGGAAGTTGGGTTCCAAGGGGAACAACTTCTTACCCTGTATTTGAGCTAGATTGCAGTGGATGAGGTGGTGTTAAAGGTACTTATGCTTTATATGATTTTGGAGATCGTAATGAGGAGGCTTGGTATAAATTTGCATTGGTAGCTCATCATATCCCTCTATTTATACCAAACGGAATGCAAAAAAACTTCAAGAAGATCATCTCTCGCAAAACAACAGTCACCTATCTGTAAAGCCCCAGTTTTGCACTTTTGATGCAAGGGGAATGTGTTAGGATGGACATTAGTCGTGACATCAAATTGAGAAATAATTTTTTCATATCTGGAAGATATTCTGCTTTAAATAGCATCACACGTGAGACTTGCATTTAGGCAATGATTGTGAACTCCTGAGAAGAGCAAATTCGGGGAAAGAAACAAAAAGACACTTGGGATGTAGTTGGGCAGGCAAGAAATTATTATTGTTAGAATGAATGATGGAAAACGGCAAATTCTGCTGTTTTTGGGCGGAAGAAAAACATGTAGAAGCAAGGAGTTGAGGGCAGGGGACAGCTGAAGAGAGCATCTTTTTGGGGGTAATTCATGAAATAAAGCTGAGGGCAAAGTGGGCTGGAGTTGATGAGAATTATGTCCACAAGCGACCAAATTAGTCACGCTTTCTCGGCCATTATCACGCCATTTTTGCCAAGGTGCCGCTGAGTTTTTATTTTATTTTATTTTATTTTATTTGGTAGTAAGAATTAGGAGAGAAGCCAAAACGAGTAAATTCAGATCCCATGGGCTGAATTATCTTTAATGCGAATGGATTTAAAAATCTTATGACCGACCCATAGCAATTACGCACATATTTAGAATCTACGTTGAAGTTATCAAAAGTTAATATGAGTATGTTTGGTTAGCAAGATTTGCCCAAAAAAAAAAAATTAAAATTTTGTTTTGCTTACATCATAAACACAATTTTCAATCATTTTTTTTTTAGTTTTATTTCACATACATTACAACACAAAAAGTAATGTAGTAATGATTTCAAATAACCTCCTATCCAAACATAATTCCTTTTTTTTTTTTGGCGCAAAAGGGTCTAACTTTATGTATATGGTTAGAAAAATTCTAGAATCTTTATTTAAGTTAGGGTTAATTGTACTTTGCACCCCTGAAATATTTTGGGATTGCACTTTGCACCCTGAAGTTTTGTGAGTTCTAGCACTTAACTACTTTAAACTACTCATTTTTTTGCAGTACACTACAATTTACCAGCAATCAAGCAATTGAAAACAGACTACACTCGGCCATGGTGATGGAGCTATTAAAAGACGATTTCATCCCTTCATTTTTTGTGTCCCCAAAATGCCCTTGTCATCAGGTCAGAGGGAAACGTGATTTATGGCCGGTGAAAGTCATTACATTTTTTTTTTTGAATCAGAAAGTCGTCGTCGCATGGTTCTTTCTTGTCTCTCAAGCACACGCACGAGAAAGTAGAAATCCAAGCAAAGTTAATCCCTTTCTCCAAACTAACTATAAAACTGTATGCTTGACTATTATGGCTTCAAGCAAATAGTAGGAACTCACAATGATTGACAAATTGAATATTGGGTGGAACAAATTAATAATAATGACTTCAACACGCAAACGAATAAAGTTACAAAACCAGAAAACCCAAGTGCGGCTACCAAGCCACCATTCTAAGGCAAAATCTATGAAAATTTTTGTCGCCAAATTGGAGGCATCCTATCATATTTCAACCAACAAATACCACAGTAGGATTGTCGATTACTAAGCTCCTTGACTAAAAATTTAAGAATTCCCAACACTGATAGCGGAGGTGAATAGAACTTAGAAGAAGTAGGATCAAATCCTACTACTAAGTACTAACTAGACATTACGGTTGCGAATGCGGCTTAATTCATCCAGGAACGAGAGCAAACCTGCGTTAGAAGGCCTTAATTCATCCAGGCACAGATTCTCGAAAATTCTACAAGCACCATGGCTGGGTGCAAATAACAGCCAAAAACTTTCAGATATGAGGCCGCTTTGGACCAAGGACTCGTACTGTCCAAGAGTTCAGAAGAGGAGTGATGTTGATGAAGCCTTGGCGAACGGAGGAGAAGAGGCGATCGATGAAGTGATTGAAGGTAGAATCCTACTTTCGAGGGAGAAGGAGAGTCCTAATGAAAAAGTGTGAAATGGAAAGTGAATTCCAGGACGCCTACAGGATGGATATATTTGGAAGTTCACTTCAACAGGGAAGATGTATTGGGCACGTCGCTATTTTTTCCACCGGAGTCGATTCGCTTAAAAATTTTACTACAAATTAATAGTTCAAGGTAGCTAAATGCTAAATTCTTTAAAGTTTAGAGCGCGAAGTACAATTCAAAAATAGTTCAGCAGTACAAAGTGTAATTAACCTGTTAGAACTTTTTTTTTTTTCAACCTTCCATCTATTTTAACACATTTCCTATCTCCAATTATCAGGCCCAAAATTCAAACCCCCTACATTCTCCCTATCCTTTTCCCATCTCCAATTGTTAGACCAAAAATTTGAACTCTGAATTTGAAAACAAGAAGAACTCTAAGAATCGATTTAAAATTTGAATCCTAAAACTAATAACAAAAAGGACTCCAAAAACCCTTCTCTAACCTTTGAGTTGTTTGGCACCCTAGTTTTTTACCAAGTTTTTTAATTACTAGTTTTTTAACAACTTTTGCTACAGGAACCCCAAAAAATTTTCAAAGTTTTTTACCTACACACTTCAAAAATCTATACACAAAAAATTTCTCAAAAACTTTTCTTCCTCCCTCACCCAACCCATCACACCAGACACCGCCTCCACCACCTCTCTCGGCGCCGGTCACTTATTCCGGTGCCGCCGGTAACCTCAAAAAAAAATTTTGAATTTTTGAGTCCCTCACCCTCAAAAATTTATTATATATATTATATATTTATATATTTATTTAAACATATTATAAATATTTTATTTTATTTAAAATATATTTTTATATATTTATATAAATATAATATACCATATAAATTAATATTAATATAAATATGTAATTATACATTTATATAAATATAAATATTATATATTTCATATATATAATACATATTATATATATTACACATTTATGTATATATATTTATGTATATTTATATACAATTATATTATGTATTATGTATAATATAATACATTTATACATAATATTAACACACAATATTAATTATACATTTATACATAATACTAATACATTTATACATTTATATTAATTATATTAATACATTAATACATAATATTATATATTTATATATTTATAATATATTCATTTATAATAATATACAATTATTACATTTGTAAATATATTTATATTATGTATTATATATAATATAATACATTTATATATTTTTATATACCTATATAAATATATTTATTTATAAATGTATTATAAATGCATAAATATATATAAATATTTAAACAATAAAAATTATAAATTATAAACAATATTAATTATACATTTATACATAATATTAATACATTTATACATTTATATAATTATATTAATACAGTTATACATAATCATCATATATATTTATAAATTATAATTTATACATTTATATAATATATTTATAATATATACATTTATATTAATTATACATTTATACATTTATATAAGTATATTATGTATTATATATAATATAATACATTTATATATTTTTATATAAATATATAAATATATAAATATATTTATTTATAAATATTTATAAATGTATAAATGCATAAATGCATATAAATATTTAAACAATAAAAATTATAAATTATAAACAATATTAATTATACATTTATACATAATATTAATACATTTATACATTTATATTAATTATATTAATACATTTATACATAATCATCATATACATTTATAAATTATAATTTATACATTTATATAATATTCATTTATAATTTATACATTTATATTAATTATACATTTATACATTTATAAATATATGTATATTACGTATTATATATAATATAATACATTTATATATTTTTATATAAATATATAAATATATTTATTTCTAAATATTTATAAATGTATTATAAATGCATAAATGTTTAAAAATATAAAAAAAAATTATAAATTATAAATTATAAAATACTCAAAAATATGTTTTAAAAATACCTCTAAAAATAATCCAAAAAACGTCTACAGTAACATTTCAAAAACTTCTACAAAAAAATTTTTCACCTTACAAAAACTTCTACAAAATTTTTTCAAAAACTTCTACAGTGCACTACAGTAAAGTTTTAGACAAACTCCCAAAAAACTCAGGTTCCAAACAGGCCCCTTATTTCACAAAATGGTATAATCAATTTTTTGTTTTTTTGCCTCCCACCCTTTCCCATAATCTTCCCACTCCCAATTGTCAGTTCAAGATTCGAGCCTTGAAACTGGCAAGGGAGAGAATTCTGGAACCCTTTCCTAACAATTGGACCAACCTCACTAATTACAAAAGGGTCAACTTTATGTACATGGTAAGAAAAATTCTCCTCAACGGAACACAAGTTAGTCATTATCTTAAAATACATCAAGATTTGCTGATGCAGGAGGGATTTTTATCGTCAGGCTCATCACTTCGTATACAAGTTGGCGTAGTGTAGCGCTTTATAAATTGTACAAGCTTTATAATAGCTAGCCATTATTCATGAAATGCTGCGGGTTTATAGCACTTGCATTCTGCAATGTCGTGGCCTGGGAAAGGAAAAATACGATGCGGGCACGTAAGCTAATAAGCCCCGTATACCGTACAATCCATAATTAGAATCATAAAAAATGGACTCAAAGCAAACCACCATGAAAACAGACAATAAGAACAATACTAGCCCACATGGTATTTCGAGACATAATAAACATGCAAGTATAGGTTAGAATAATCATAAAAATTAGTAAATCATGGTTACAAAAGGAAATATCTGTACAACACATGCCACCAATGTTTCATGTGAACATTTTACAGGAAAAAACTTTTAAGTGACCAGAGCTTTGAACAAATCCAGTTGGCCAGCACCTACAGCTTCCAAAGGCCACCGCAAGTGGCGAGGTACTCAGTCAGCCCTCCTTTTTCCACTTCTAGATCACCTCCAGGGTTCAATGGTGCTGA